CCAACCCACTTTTTTTCAAGGCCTCACGAATACTTATAATATTCTTATTTGACTATTAATAATAAACAATGAAGGTAATCTTGGCCCAAGTGATAAAATTACTGTTACTTAACTAAAACATTACCGATTTGAGCCGTAAAAACTGGAACAGAAATGTAGGATAAACCAAAACCTCATTGTCCGACCCTTCACTTCACTGTTAGTAATAAACAAAGACATCAGAAAGATTTCCCCTTAAACAAGGCCCCCACAGGCCACAGCTCCAAAAGTACAAGATCTTTTCCTCTTTTTGCTTCCATTTTCTCATTGTACACTCTCCCCATGTTCACAACTAAACTTCACAAACTCTGCTACTCAACTGAAACATACCTTCACCATATAATCAATACATTCCTCTCCAATAGAACCTCTGAACTTAAAACCCTTCTTAAATCCCACGCTTTCATAATCACAACTGGGCACTCAAACAACGGTTACACAGCAGCAAAGCTTATATCTTTATACGCCTCTAACAAACCCCACCTCATTAATTCAAGAAAAGTGTTTGATTTAATCAGTTTTAAAGACCCTTTTCTTTGGAATTCAATTATCAAAGCTTATTTCTCCAATGGGTATTATTCAGAAGCTCTTGATTTTTACTCCAATATGCGAGGTTTTAATGCTCTGCCTAACCAGTTTACGATTCCCATTGTTGTTTCTGCTTGTGCGGAACTTGGGTTGATTTATTATGGCAAAAATATTCATGGGTTAGTCTCAAAATTGAATCTTTTTCACGGTAATAATGCTGCTGTTGGATCATCTTTGGTTTATATGTACTCGAAATGCGGGTTTATGGAGTATGCTGCTGATGTGTTTGATGAAATTAATGTGAGAGATGTGGTTTCTTGGACTGCAATTGTAAAGGGGTATGTGGAGAATGGGGAGAGTGAGAAGGGGTTGGAGTATCTTTGTTTGATGCATAAGAATGGGGAAGGTGAGGTAAGGCCGAATTTTCGGACGTTAGAGGGTGGATTTCAAGCTTGTGGAAATTTAGGTGCATTGGTAGAAGGGAAATGCTTGCATGGGCTGACAGTTAAGTCTGGTTTTGTTAGTCATCACGTTGTTCAGTGTTCTGTTCTGTCAATGTACTCAAAATGTGGGTCGGTTGAAGAAGCATATTGTTCGTTTTGTGAGGTTCATGAGAAGGACTTGCTTTCCTGGACGTCGATAATTGCTGTTTATGCAAAGTTTGAGTGTATGGTCGAATGCATTGATATGTTCTTGAAAATGCAGGCCAGTGGGATAACCCCAGATGGGATGGTAATTAGTTGTGTGCTTTCTGGTCTAGGTAATTCCATGAAGATTTTTGAAGCTAAGGCTTTCCATGGATTCATCTTGAGAAGAAACTATGTTGACGATCACATGGTCTGTAATGCATTATTGGCCATGTATTGTAAGCTTAGACTCGTGAACTTGGCGGAAAAGTTATTTGATGGAGGAAATGGACAAACTACAGAGGCTTGGAACATAATGGTGATTGGCTATCTCAAAGCTGGGTTAGAAGGCAAGTGCATTAATTTATTCAGAGAAATGCAACACTTGGGAATTGAATGTGATGTCAACAGCTTGATATCTGTAATTTCTTCTTGCTCCGGGTTGGAAGGATTCCATTTAGGTCTTTCCCTGCATTGCCGTGTTGTTAAGAGTCTGATGCTTGAAAATGTTTCTGTTGCCAATTCTCTAATAAATATGTATGGAAGAAGCAAGAACCTGAGTTTATCGTGGAGACTCTTTTGTATGATGATTAATAAGGATGTTGTCACGTGGAACACAATGATAACTTCCTATATTAGTTGTGGAAAAATTACAGAGGCCTTCGGCCTTTTTGATAAAATGATTGCAGAAAGCTACAAGCCTACTATTGCAACACTGCTGATTCTGCTCTCTGCTTGTTCTCAAGTTTCCTCCCTGGAGAAAGGAGAGAGAGTTTACGAATACATCAAGGAAGTTGGGTTTGAAAAGAATACTTTGCTTGCTACTGCTTTGACTGATATGTACGCGAAATGTGGACAGCTAACAAAGTCCAGAGAAATATTTGATTCAGTGGATAAGAAAGATGTCGTCTCTTGGAACGTACTGATCTCAGGCTATGCTATGTATGGAGAAGCAACATCTGCTATAGAAATTTTCAAACAGATGGAACAGTCGAAAAATAAGCCAAATGAACTGACTTTTCTTGCTGTTCTCTCAGCCTGCGCTCATGCTGGATTGGCTGAAGAAGGAAAGTCCATATTTAGCAGAATGAAAGATTATTCTTTGATGCCTACACTGAAGCACTACGCTTGTATGGCTGATCTTTTAGGTCGTTCTGGTAATTTGGATGATGCTGAAGCTTTGGTTTTGTCCATGCCAATTGCTCCTGATTCAGCTATCTGGGGTTCTTTACTAAGTTCTTGTAAAATTCACAGTCAGGTTGAGAAGGGTATAAGAATTGCAAAACATGCTATTGACTCTGACCCGGAAAATGATGGATACTATGTAGCAATTTCTGACCTATATAGTTCTGTAGGAATGTGGGAAGAGGTTGAAATGGTGAGGAAAATAATGAAGGAACGAAAAGTGAGGAAAGAAGTTGGCTGGAGTACAGTATAAATTTCACAGCTATTTGTTGGGAGTCTTTAGCAACTCAAGTCATGGTAGCATCAATGTATTGAAGATATACTTGCAAGAGTTGTTCGATAAACACCATGTTTTCTGCACTGTATAGTTTGCTTTCACGTGGTGGAAAACAATGGCTAATTGGTGGTAGCGTTGAGATGGTTTTCAGTTGATGTCTGTTGAAGAAAGGATAGAAAACAATCTAAGACTTGATTTCAACAAATGAAGTTAATCGGAGAATTGATCGACTCTTCATCACTGCCGATTGACAAAGGGAAACATAAAAGAGAAAGATATTGGTTTAGGACTCAAAGTACAAAAGCATTCCTTGAGATATCCGAAGTAGTATTTTGTTTCCAAATATAATGGGAGTATGAAATGACAACTCTATCCTTGAAGGAGATTATGTCAGATTACTTAGCTGTATTTTTTATTTCCTTGTATATATTTTTTTTATTCACATTAGGACAAATTGTACATGGACAGGTATGAGAGTAGTGCATAGAATAAATGGAACAAATTAGCTACACTGCACACAATATTTCGATTGAAGACAATACACACCAATTCATATAGGGTTCAAAATTGTGTCTTTTACAATGTCCAGGTAGCGAGCCCCCTATATTTCAGTGGGCTGAGCGAGAAGGATGCATCCATTGATCATGCCTCTTGTTCTTTGGCTGATGATAGTAATCTGATTTTGGGCTTGTAGGATGAACAAGTTGCAGTTTCTTTTATCCTTTGAAGTTCACCCCTTTGACAATGTGTCTATGTACGAGAAAGGAGAAACTTTTATGTTCTCTGTGCTCATTTTGGTACATCGGAGCAGCAACAAATGAAATATGGCTGTAGACTTGATGAATATCTACAGCTACTGCATTCCTGGACCGGCGGCCCTAGATTTGGAACTTGAGTGCATCGCTGAAGTTTCGGAGCTTGGATATAGATTGCAACAACAACCCAGTAAAATCCCACTAATGGGGTATGGGGAGGGTAGTGTGTACGCACACCTTACCCCTACCCCAAAGGAGTAGAGAGGCTATTTCCGAAAGACCCTCGGACAAAAGGAGACAATATTAGTATCACCACAACAAAGCTTGGATATAAATTAGGAGGATCCAAAACATTTGGCCATTGAGGCTACCAAGTCAATTCTTTCCATGGATTATGAAAATGTGAATCTCTTTGAGGGCACAACCTTGAGGTAGCCAAGAAAAGTCTCTAAAGGGCAGCCCGGTGCACTAAACTCTCGTTATGCGCGAGATTTGAGAAAGGGACGGACCACAAGGGTCTATTGTACGCAGTCTAACCTGCATTTCTGCAAGAGCCAAGAAAGGTCTCTAACATGAGAAATTATCTACTAAATTTTATGTGATGGCGTCGCTGGTGTAAGACCCACCATGAATTCCATATGAGGGCGGAGCTTGCATACGATAAGGTGGTGTGAGGAGACAAAGAACACCAAGTTATTTCTCTCCATCAGCCAAGCATTGGCAGACAAAGCTAGCTAATAGTTCTGCTGTTGAGAGGTAGCAAATTACTTGATAAAATAGTAGGCGTGCGAAAGTTAGTCTAAACTGCACCATAATTTCTCAGGTGTTAGGATTAGAATGTACTATTAAACAGTAGCCTCACTCAATCATCCTCCAAACAAGTGACTTGCAGTTATGAAAATTGTGTACTTCCCATATTTGTTTTGTCTTGATGGAACAATGATGATGACATATATCTGTTTAACACTTCAAACTTTTAAATTACCAAACATTGCACATACGAGTTTTAAGGCTTTATTTTTACTCTTATAGGCAAGTTCAGTAGTAAGGGGTAAAAACTAAGTCTAAAGTACCAAAAATATAACATTTGTTTAGACCTTAAAAGTATAAATTTGAATAGAAGAAAATGATCCTAAAAGATCTCATTTATTCTTTTTACTTATTGGACAACAAAACAAAATCTCCCGACCTTCTTCAGAACTTAAGTATTGACAAATGACACAAGGTAGCTACTTTTAAGCATACTATTTAAAATATATTAATAGTTTATAATATATTTAAAAATTAGTCAATTCCCTCCTACTTCAAGAGACTTAAACATTGGTAGCTCAAAAATTCAAGGTACTTAGTATTGCAGTTTGGATAAGATACTAATCTTTAAATACATTTGTAAATTGTGATATGGGGCTTAAAAGTGGCTACTAGTGCACTTCTCTCCAACCATTTCATTAACTTGGGTAAACATAAATACAAACACAAAAAATTAACACACTGCCAAAAATTCATTACCAAATATTAAGTATCAAAAGAAATCAAATAAGGAACACATAACAAAATGTTCATTCACAAAGAAAAAGGCTTACATTTGCCTATTAGCAGCTTCAGTAACAAAAGGCAAGTAAGGAGTTTTCCCAAGGATACAACTAACAAGCCCATAAACAAAACATCCCACAACAAACACAAAAAGCCCATTATGCATCATCATTGTAAGTTTCAGCCCAATTCCAGATTGACCCGGAGAGAATATCCGCTGAATCAACATCGGTACCACCAATAAAACGTCAAGTACAACCGCTTGAAGCGCATTGAAACGGGCGTAACGGTTTAGACTCTCGTTCCGTACAATTCCTAAGTAGAGGGCGAAGAAGGTGACAAAGCTAGCGTATGGGATTGAACGGTAGAGTGAGAGAAGTGGAAGAATGGGTTGAAATGGGAGAGTTAGGGAAGGGTATTGAGAGAATAAGAAACGGCCGTATTGAAGGCCGTTGAAAAAGGGAAGAAAGTAAGCTACGGCGGAGATTAAGCGGTCTGTGGCGGGGATTGGGTTGTAGGTGGCGGAGATGGAATTGGGCTTGGTTTGTGTTTGGGCTTTTTGGGCTTGGAGGAGTTTTGGGATGGTGGGTTTGAGGGGGTGGGGTAAGAGGAGGTGGTGGGGTGTGAGAGGGGTTTTGGGTTTTAGGGTTTTGGGGAGAGTGAAACGGAGGAGAGGGATGGAGGCCATTTTTGGAAAATGAGAGTTTTTGGGAGCTCCCGTTGGGTATTTAGACGGATTTTTCTTCTGGAAAGTACAACATGGACAGCACAAGGTACTATAGAATGCAGTATGCCAATATTTGGATTCTAATCGTAGAAGATTCCAAATTTAGCCTAAACAAAGACACATAGATAGGTACTCAAAACTGGCACTAAATTCAGTTCATGAGATACAGTTTTCTTAATAATTTGTCCATTTGTTCATTAGTATTGTTAAGATATTTAACTGAAATTTGATGAACCCTTTAAGCCCCGTTTGGCCATAGATTTTGGCAAGTTTTTTTCAAATTTTTTTTGGTACATTTTTTAAAAATATTGCTAATTGTAAGTAGAGCATTTTCTTAGTACTGGTTAGGGATGTACAAACCGAACCAAATCGAAAAGTCAAATCAAAACGATTAAAAAACCCGACTTGGTATGGTTTGATTTGGTTTGGTATTGAGTAAAAAAATCCGAACCAACCCGACATATAAATATATAATTTTTATATATACTTTTAAGATTTTATATAGAATTTTCTTTACAAAATGTCTAGAAATATTTGGGATTCTCTTGCGAGATATAAATTTTAATAGAATATGAAGTGCTCCATATTTATTGACCTTAAATAATGGGTTGTATGATCACTTTCTTAAGTGTTACTAAAATGCGTCTATCTCTTTGTTCTTCCATATTCATATCAGATCTATTACATTCTTATATCTTTTTCGAATGTGAAGTGATTATTAATATTTATGTATCATATTAATAGTTATATTTTTAGATGTAATTTTCATATATACTTTAAAGATTTTATATAGATTTTTCTTTAAAAAATGTCTAGAAATATTTGGGATTCTCTTGCGGAATATAAATTTGAATAGAATATGAAGTGCTCCATATTTATTGACCTTAAATAATGGGTTGTATGATCACTTTCTTATCAAGTGTTACTGAAATGCGTCTTTCTCTTTGTTCTTCCATATTCATATCATATGTTAAATCTATTAGATTCTTATATCTTTTTCGAATGTGAAGTGATTATTAATATTTATGTATCGTATTGATTTTTATGACAAACATATTATCGATTAAAATATTCTTATGGGAGAATTCTATTAGTAACACATAACAGTTATGTGTTATCGATTAAAATAACTATTATGTGTTACTAATAGAATTCTCCCATAAGAATATTTTAATCGATAATATGTTTGTCAATTTTTTTATATTTTTACTAAATATATATTTACTTATCAAATATTTAACAAAGTAAGATTGAAATAATATTTAAGCAATAAAAAAATCGAAAACCCGACAAAACCGAACCAACTCGGTCCATGTACACCCCTAGTACTGGTAATCAATTAATGATTAAAAAAAAACTTTCTATTTTCAATTAATTCAACTATGATTATATATGGCTTGACAAAACATATCCGAATTCGCCAACCTGTCAATATCTAGATTGCATACATGAGGGAAGGTGTATAAAAAACAAAAACATAAAAATAATTCAAAAAGTAAAAACTGTTAATTCCGTTGCCGGGACTTGAACCCGGGTCTCTTGGGTGAGAGCCGAGTATCCTAACCACCTAGACTACAACGGATTTCTGATGTGCTCTGTCCAGGAAACTTTATTATCTGTCCACTTTTGTTCTTTCTCAACCACTCCTAAAAATGACAAAGACTAAATGAGAGAAGATTTATCATCTTATTTGTTGACGTGTATTTTCAAAGAAAAGATAGAAATTCCTCTATAAGTTCAATTATTATTTGAATAATAGTTTACAAGTTGACAATCTCTAATATTATCATAATACAGTCGGACCCTCTATGACAGAATCACTGTATAGCAGTCATTCATCATAAAATTTAAGTTTTTCTTGGAACCGATTTTTATGTTATGTTATAATATATGTTTTCTATAATAGCATTTCACTGTAGCAGTTAAAAAATATTGGAACAAATGAGGTTATTATAAAAAAATTGACTATAGTGGTAAACGACTATCAAAGTTGTTATACTTCGTACAGTAAGAAGAATAACTGGTCGCCATTCAATATTCAACTCTAGTTTGTTCAAGAAAAAAATGGAATTATATATGAAAACTCTCTCAATTTAATGCTGTATAACAGAGCAGCACCATTTTAGTTTTTTCAAAGATCTATTTGA